AGAGAAAGGGAAATCTATAGACAATTACCAGCAAGGGAAGATCTTGCTACAGATCAAAGTAATATGGGTGAATGAAGCATGTACAGGCATTTCCAACTAGCTGGATGTGGATACACACACTGCATGATGCTACACTGAGTCACCACAGTGCCAGCCTGATTAGTCTCTGCATTGTCCCAAGGTACTATGCTCAGGGGCACATCCAGCCCCTGACTGTGGGCCCAGCTGCACACTCACAGGGATGGGGGTGTCTTTTCCTCAGTCACTTGCCCACTACAAGCACCTTTTCTAATTGGCACAAAAGCCTCATACAAGCCACAGGGTGGTGATGAAGTCTATCTAAGCCAAATCATCCTGTAATTTCCTTAAAGATTTTTAAGACCATCTCTGTGAGCATCTGCAGAGTTGATCTCATTATGGTGGGCAGTCCAGTTGATCTACATGTGTTAACAAGGCCCCCTTAAGCACTCTGTGGAGGCCTGGGTTGAGCTCCTAGTGCTTTCTGAAGCAAGTGGGAGCCAGAAGGGTGAGGACCATGCCACCCATAGATGCACTCAGCTGTCCCCTGTCTATACCAGGCCTTGGATGCCTCTGCCCTTTGAGGAACAGCTTGACATTCTGAGGACATCAAAGGACACACACACACACACACACACCCCTGATGTCCTGAGGAACATAAGTGGGAAGTTCTGTGGCTGTCACTCAGAACCTAGAAACAACTGGTGCACAAGGTAGGCTCACATTCTCCCAAAAATGCACACATAGAAGCCAAATGTGAAATACTGAGACCAGAGGGAGGATTGCTCATCAGTCAGAGAAAATTTTAAATTAAAGATGGAAAGGCCAAAAGCCCACATCCCTGGGCTTCTGGTCATGCATCTGAACATCCAGGAATATGGTGGATTTTTCAGTCTTTTTCAGCCTATTTTCTTAGTTGTGAAAACTAAGGGTTTATACAGAGCTTAAGTGAGCCTGTGTGTCTGGCACATAGGAGATGTTGCATCCCTGCCATTCTCCTCTTGTTTTGCTTTACCTGCAGCCCTATGTTGGGGACATGGCTCTGCATTGATGCTTAATGAATGAGGCCCAAGAGGAAGAATGCTGGTGAACATGCTTTAAGAAAGTATGCACCTAGAAAGGACATATTGACCCCATTGGGCATTATCACCTGTGGGCTGGCTGTCTGTATCACTGAGCATCTAATAAATCAAATACCCCAGACTTCCCACTACTAAGAAGCTGCATGTCCTGTGTGAAGAGACTTAATGTAGCAGAAAATGTGAGTCTTATCTTTTTGCAAAACTAAATGATGCATCTCTCAACAGCTTCTGTACAGTAGGAAGAGAAGTGGACACAGAACTGGCTCTGTAGTATCCTGCCTACACACAGTGCAAGGTAGACAAATCAGGCAGGGGATGACCAGCACGTTCATCTTTCAGTTTTCCATTTTCCTGCCTTTATTATTTCATTAGGAACCATGCCTGCATTTATTTAAAATAAAAATGGAATTCTGAGTCTTTTTCTGACTTAAAAACCTTAAGAAGACTAGAAACCCTGATGGAAAGAATCTTAGCTTTTAGTTGGACAGGCAAGGATGGAAACTCCCCTTTTATGCTTCATTGTAAACACAAAGCCCTTGTCCCATTAAATGACATAAGGATCTTAAAACACTGTGTAAAAGATAATCAACTCAGTCCCAAAAGGTAATTAACCTTCAGTTATTTAATGCTACTCTAGGAACACAAGCTTGACTGTCAAACACATGGAATGGTTGGCAGGTTATTTATAACAGCTGCTCACACTTCTTTTTAAATGTGGCATGTGAGTTCCCAGCTGAGGAAAGTAGATGCTAATTGATACCACTCATTGCACAGAGGGGCAGGTGGGTGCATTTCCCAGCCTCTGAGGCTGCTGGGCTCATTCTCTCTCTGGGCAGCTCCTCGCTTGACAAGTGACTAAAGACAGTTTCCTCCTGTTCCAGGAAGCTGCACTGTGATTCAGAGCAGGTCCTCTTTTTCATAGCTCTGCACTTCCACATGTACACACACAAAGCAACCTTAATCTTAGACTCAAAACCTATTTTACTTTTCCTTCAGTAAGTATTGAGAATCTACCATGTGCCTGGTACTGAAGAGTGAGCATTGAACCATCAGTTAAAACCCCACCCTCAAGGAGCACACAGTGTGGTGGAGTGAGAACTGCAGATAGTACAATAGTAGCGCAAAGGTCTTGAGGCAGGAGTCTGTAGTATACTCTGGTAACTTTTTGGAGTATTGCCACCCTGAGCAAAATTTTCTGGTTCTGTCCTTTAGGCCCCTTTAAGCTGAGGCCTTTGCCTCTCAGCAGGAGGTAGACATGACCACAAGTCAGCAGTGGCCACCCCATGCTGTATCTCTGCTAGGAGTGTTCTTTGTCCCAAGAGAACACAGCTGCTCAGACTCTCTCAACCCCACGGGAATGTGGCAAAAGGCTGGGCAATGAGAGGGAAAGGAGAGAATTTTAACTTTGCAGACCCTCTTTCAGGTGACTGTCCTGCCTTGGAGCCCCTGTGTGATAGGAGTCATTGGGAAAAGCACCCTTAATATGGCAGTGCTTCAAGCAAAACCTGCCAGGAATTCTGGTAGCAATGCCACTGTACAGGTGGATTGGGTGAGCTGTGATGCGTGCTCACTGTAAGGCTTATCCTGTTATGTGTTCTGTGACCTGAAGCCACATGTGCATGACACTGCACACAGACACCCAGAGTAATTCCCCAGGACAGGGAGTATGGCCACAGCAGCCTGTGCTTCACATAGGTGTGTCCTACAGCTAGCAGTGGCCAGTGAAACAGGGATTTGGCCTGACTACAACACCTATGGACCCTGGTCTCGGGCAGAGCACAGCTATAGGATTCCAGGTCTGCTCCGCACCCTCCAGGAATGAGAGAAACAGAAGTGGGTCCCTTAGTCTTGTTTGTCAGGACAAGTGTCCTGGTCCCTGCTCCCTGTAGGTGACTGAAGAGTCTCCTGGGATGCTTCTTGAACACAGGCAGCTTGTATCCCCATCTCCACCAATGACACATAGTTACCTGATGAGATTTGGGTGTCACTAAGATCCACACTACCCCCAGGTACCAACCCCACATGGCATTCTGTTCTGTCCAGAGTCAGAGACTGTTCTGACATTGGAAAGGAGTGAGGCAGACTTAAGCAGGATTTATGCTTTAATTATATTTCCTTAAGGGTAGACTTAGAACATCATGAGTCATTTTTATCAGTTCTCACAATCCCAGTTGGTCTGTTCTTCCTCCTTCCTTTGTCTCAGTACAGCTCTGTGGAAGGTACTTTCTCCCTTCCCTCACATGGGGTAACCCCCTTCACAGTACACACATAGCATATGTGGGCTCATGTGTGCAAATGCAGTCATTCTGTGACTTTTCTGTTGGTGGTAGCTCTTCTGTCACCACAAAAAAAAAGGACTACACCTTTGTTCTCTTACCTGTCACCCAGGCATGGCACAAAGAATGTGAATCTATAGGCCCAATGAGGAGGAGGTACCATAGTGTTTATCTTCCCAAACAGGAGGGAAGAGATATGTAAACCACTCTTTCTTCCTAGTATTTGTCCCCATGGGAAGGAGGGTGCCTACAACCAAAGGTCCACTAAGTAAAGCAGAGGTCCTGCATGTGTAGGATTAAGATACTGGGAAGGGGTGGCAGATCTGATTTTATTTTAAGACCAAAAAATCTTTAGTCTTGATGGTACTCATATCTTGTGTTCTCAACTACTCCTCAGGGCCTCCTTTCTTCTTACTTGATTCTAGTGAGCTGTGCCCTATTTCTGTTTCCTCCTACTATGAAGGCCCCTCACAGAGTCAAGAGGACACTGTGGGGAGTCAGTGGGCCCCTCAGCCCAGAGATCAGATGTCTTTCCATAGCCTTAGTAGCCTGTGGCCTCTAGACAGGGTCAACATGCCCACCAAGCAGCCCACTCTGTTGTGAGATCCATGAGATGACTTTTCTTTAAAATTTATCTTTCATCTCCTGTTGAACTGAGGCCCCTAGCCATTTTTATGACTGAATCTTGTGAGCAAATACAGTTATCACCCCATCATTCAAAACCAGGCACTCCAAAACCCTGAAAGGAGCAGAGAACCTGTGCCAGATTATTCAGTCCTCTCAAATGTTTCCAGGCTGGAGTCAAGGTGTGTTCCATATGTCACAAGAGGGGTCATACCTGACTTAGAAGCACAACATGTAAAACCCAGGCCAGGGTTTTCACCACTAAATCTGTTTGGCCTTATCTGCAAATAAGACTTAAAAGAAAAGTTAAAGTCAAAAATTAGTTATGGTACAAATATTCCTAAGAGTACTTGTGCATCCCTAACTAGGCCACCCTTTCTTTGAAAGGGGCTTTGCAGCTCTCTTCCAGCTCAAGCTGGCCAGGTAAGCTAGGCAGGTAAATCAGGACAGCTTAGACTGAATGAGGAAAGCCCAGTCTAGACTAGCTTAGCACACACTCTGATTTCCCTAAGGTTTTCTCTTGCTCAGAGCATAAAACTGTAGTCAGCATTAAGAATAGTTTAAAAAAAAAAGGTGAGGGCCAAAGACCAGTCCCCAGGATCCAATTCTGAGGCCTCCTCTGGGATCCTGGAGTCCCTTTGCCTCACTAGGCTTCTCTCCTTCTGTCACACAGAATGAAAAGCTACATTCCCCTACCCCACCCCTGCGCATGTCCTGGCCTGCTTTCCCAGTTAGCCAGGATGGTGCTGTGGCCCCCTCAGACCAACAGGCGACAGGTAAACACCTCCCTTCCTCCCACCTGCCTCTTGGACTTGTTGAGGATTGAGTCAGGTGATGGGTGTGGGAGCTGTTTGTAAACTGTAGAGCCCTACAAACATCACCTATCCTGTTTAGGTTAGGTTTATCCAAAGATGAGCTCTGTGTGTTCTCCATCTACCCTGCCATCCACCATGTCCTGAAAAAGTACCCATTGACCCTTGTCCTTGTCCTCTGCCTGCAGATACCTGGCACTCTATGCCTACAAACCCCAGAAGAACGATGAGCTGGAGCTGCGCAAGGGTGAGATGTACCGGGTGCTGGAGAAGTGCCAGGATGGCTGGTTCAAGGGGGCATCGCTGAGAACTGGGGTCTCTGGTGTGTTCCCTGGAAATTACGTGACACCTGTATCCAGGTGAGGGTCCAGTGGCCTGGGCAAGGAGGGAGCAAGGTCCTCTGATGCTGTGGGAACCAAGGAGGCCATGCTGTGGACTTCCCCCAAAAAACATTCAGTCCAGAGACAGCAGGAATGCTCAAGCTCCCTTTGTGATACTATGTGTGTGTGCATATACAGAGTAGGTTCATGTGTGTAGTATGTGTTTGTATGTGTGTGTGCATAGTTTAAGTACAGTGCATATGTATATGTAGTGTGTGTATGAGCACAGCATTGTACATGTGTGTATAGTATAAATGTGCATTTATACAGTGAACATAGCATATGCGTATAGTACGTATTGTATATATAGCACATGTGCACTTCTGCAGCATGAGCACAGCATGTGTACATGTGTGTATTTTTACAGTGAGCACAGCATGTGTGCATGTATATATAATGTGTGTATAGCATGTATACACTTTGTAATGTGAGCAGTGTGTGTGCATGTGTATGTAGTGTGTGTATAGCACATGCACTTGTACAGTGTGAGCACAGCATGTGTGCATATATATATAGTGCATGTATAATGCATAAATTTGTGCAGTATATGTGTGTAACTTGTCTATAGCACACATGTATTTGTACAGTGTGAACATGTGTGTTTATAGTGTGTGCACAGCACATGCACATTTATACAGTGTGAGCACAGCCTGTGTGTATAGTGCATAGAGTGTATGTATAGTTCGTGTGCATTTGTACAGTGTGAGCTCAGTGTGTGTGTACAGCACATATACATTATACTGTGTGAGCACAGCATGTAGAGAGATACCATGCATGTGTGTGTGCATGTGTGTAGAACATACACATACACACCTATACAAAGGGTAATGTAAATTTTTTCCTTCTTTGTGCTTTCCGTTGTTTTATAAGTCTTTGTTAAGTAACTTTTATGAAATAGAAAAAGTGATTTTTAAATATTCACGGAAGAGATAATCTGGATTTGTTTGAGAATTTTCCCTTGAGTCCAATGCTTGGCTGTATTTTAGTCAGCGTCATTCACAGCAGCCCCTTGGGGCAGAGGCATGTGTCCACACTACAGGACATGCAAATATCCAAAGACATGGCCCTTGGGCTTCTACTGTCTTTGGAGGAATACTGTATGAAAAGTATTCAATAACATCTGTACCTGGAACCAGTTGCCAAACTGATGCTTACCTATGTAAATGGCTTCAGAAAGGGCATGAGAGGACATGCTGTTGAGTCCATGGCCTCAGGTACCAAGGCATTCTTCAGATAGGGCTTCATGCAGCATAAGAGGCTTCATGCAGTAGAGGCCTGGGGAGGAGTTTATCATGAGGCCCAGGAGGTTTGTAGGGTCAAGGAAGGTGTGGGGTGAGAAATGTTTCACTCAGGAAACTGTCAGCACTGAAAAACATGAGAAATACATGTATTTCATGAAATACATGAACTGCATAGGGACTTCACAAAGCCCTCAGCCCTAACCCCGGCCTCCTGAGTGGAGGGAGGAATGGCTGCTGAGAGCGTGAACTCCCCACAGGCCACCTGGGTCTTCTTTACTTGTGTAAGGCAACTTGCTCAGCACCTACAGGCAGGGTTCACTCTGCAAATGGGATACCTCTGGTTTGGATTTCATGCCATTTTTCTCAGGCTGTTTTTTTTATCGTGCACCTGGGCTTGTTTTTGGAGTCTTTGCTGTGCTTGGAGGAGGCACCATTGGTCTGACACAACCAACAGTGCTAAGGCAGGGGTGTCTTCCCCTCCCTGCCCAGGCCAAGGTGGGCTGTCTGTGAGGATCCCTGGAGCACCTTGGCTTAACTCTCTACCCACATCCCTCACCCAATGCTGACAAAGCCCTTTGACTAGACTCCTCAGCTGGAAAAGGAGTGAACACTGGCTGCCTTTCCACCTCATCCTACAGGAACTCATCCTTCAGGAACTATGGAGAGCCTTTTCCCATGCCACATGGTCAGAATGGACAGCTCTGCTTTCTGTGTATCCCAAGCAATCCATCAGCCAGTGCCGCTCATTATGGTTCTATAGGTGTGTGGAGCCTACCAACTCTGGGTATAGCAGCCATCTCCAGCTTTGCATCCTAGGCTCCTTACATACCATTTGTATATAGTAGGTGCTCAATAAATATAAGTAAAGTAAATCAATAAAATCTGATAGTTCTGATCAAATTTATGCCCAATGTCTTCCAATGCTGCCATGGATTTAGCTATGGTAAGATCCTCTGGTTGATAAAACTGGAATTTTTTGAGTGACCTGGGCACCTTATTCCACCTTGGCTTGTGAACATCATCAGTTGCTTGATTCCTTCAAGCCTTTGATCAGCCAGGTATGTTTCTGAAGATGCTCAGAGCTGGGAGACCATTAAGAAGTCCCTCCAGGACTAACTCTGGTAACTGCAGTATCTGGAGGTCACTGTCTGGTATCCTCTCTGGTTCCTCAGAGAAGGAACCACAGTAGCCATATCTCAGAGGCCCAACTTCCCAATAGGGTACATAACTCACAAAAAGCTTTTTTTATTGGTGGTACTGGGGTTTGAACTTAGGATCTTATGCTTCCTAGGCAGGTGCTCTTCCAGTCCTCTCACCATGAAGCAGAAAAGCTGGCCTTGGCCTTTATTCCTAGAGGTAAAGGGCCATTCACTTCCATGGCTCTGTCTCTAGGACATACACTTTTCCTGACACCCAAAGTCACCCAGAAGAAACATGACACCCTCCTAGAATAGGTGTCAGAGGCATAGGTGGAAGCCCAGCCCCGTGTGTGCAGGCCTAGAGCCACCCGTCTACGTCAATTCCAGTCATCATCATGAAGTGCCTTGTAGTGCAAGTGTCCTGAGAGACTAGTGCTTAGAGTTGATTCATCGTTGTGCTACCACATCTGATATCTGGGATTTATTTTAAAGGGATGCCAGGTACATGTTTTCTCTCATACATGGAAGATAGATTCAAAAGATAAACATATACACACAAAAACCAAACATGATCATATACAAACTTATATGTATAACATGTTTGTAATAGTAGAACTACACTATGAGACTTGGGAATGGAGGAAACAGAAAAGATAATGATAGAGCATCAACAATATTGTAATACATAACATCTGTGAAGGCAGAAATATAATAATATGTATTGAAAGCTGTTGAAAAATGGGGGATGGGAGGGAAGGGGTAAGGGAGAGTAATGGAAGGGGTTGAAAAGACCAAAGTAAAGTATACTCACAGTGAGGATATATTGAGAAACCCCTTTAAACATTAACTTAGAAATTAATAATGAAAGATAGAACTGTAAAATAGGTATAGTGTAGGAGGGTACTTGTGGGAGGAAGGAGGGTGAATGAAAGAGATTAAGGTGAGGGAATATGGTTAATGGATTTCATATACTTATATGAAATAGAACAATGAAAATTCTTGCAATTGCTTTAAGAGAGGCAGGGAGGGGGTGAGGGAAACAGTGGGGCGATCTAACCAATGTACAATGAATATATCCTAACAAAAAAGGGGGGCTGCTGGAAGAGTGGTCAAATGGTAGAGCACTTACCTGACAAGCATGAGGCCTTGAGTTCAAACCCCAGTACTGCCAATAAAGGGGGATCCCAGGGTACATGTCTATTGCAAATGAGAGTGGGCATTAGGAAGGAAAATGCATACTGGTTGGAAGGCACCTCTTTCTGCTGCCCTGAAGATTTGTCATGGCTTTGCAAATAGAACACCCTAATTTGAAAGTCTCATCTATTAGGTTTGTAAAGACTAAATATAAGGTAGCAAAGATGATTTGCAAACTCATGGTTTGAGCTGGTCTATTGTCGGGGCAGAAGGTGAATTTCAGGATAACTCTGAGGCTGAAGAAGGACAGTACTGCACTGTGGGGGTCCTTCAACTAAAGCACTATATTAACATTATTTTAGGACTTTCCTGGACCACTTGACCTTCATCTCTTAGGGCCTATATGTTAAAGTAGGTCTTTGCCAGTGGCAAATGGCCTGATTTTATCTGAGCCCTATCACTGACTTGATTTTGCTTATTCCCTTAGGGTTCCTGGAGCAGGGTCTGGGTCACCCCGGAACAATGTGCTTGGAGGGTCTTCGCTGGCCAAAGGGATGACTACCACCATGCACCCCAGCAGTGGAAGTCTGAGCAGTTCAGCCACTGCTACCAGACCAACCCTTCCACATACCACTCCACAGGCCCATGCCCAGCACCCAACAGCCTCCCCACCAACAGGCAACTGCCTTCGGCACACAGCTCAGACAGCAGCCAGCCAGGCTCGGGGCAGCATCCCAACAGGTATGGATGAAGACTACCAGAGCCTCACTCTACTAGGAATTAACAAGGGGGACTTTTGGGACACAAATTATGAGACACATTTTAGCTCTGCTGTCTAGCAAGCCATGGTGGGGAGAATTGGATTTATTTGTCATAATTTCCAAGAAGTGCATGTGCCTTATCATGTTACTTTATCCTGACAGCTAAAATGATGTCGCCAATGTATTTGCACATTTCACTGTGGCAAGAGAACTGCATGGACCCATAAGATTAGTGCTAGTGCCTCTGGATGCCTGCCCCAGAGAAGTGGCTATGGTCTGGCCACAGAGGCCTTCACTTGGCCAAATCAAGGTTTTCCCACTAGGCAGCACCTCACAGGGCAGAGCTTGTAATGTGCTGAAGCACTTTGAGCATGGAGGGAATGATGGTCATTGACTTCTTCCCCTTTAGAGACTTTATCAATCCATAGGCTGACAGAACTTAAGGAAAAACCAGTTTTGCTCTCATGATAGTATGAGATGAAAAGAAATCATGGGGTGATTTGAAAGGCACCTGAAGATCTTTCTTGGAACCTTAGCATCAAGTTATAACAAGTACTGAAGATTGACTGGCAGGTTGCTCCTGGGAACTCATACAACAGGACCTTCCAAAACCACAGAGTCAGCGACACTGCCACTGTGCAGTGAAAGCAATCCAGGGAGGGAGGGTGTAACCCAGAATTTCTCTAACCACCCTATCCTCTTAGAAATCATCTTTTTCTCCAAATCCAGTTTAAAGAGCAAAAAGAGTATGTGATCTTTGGGGCAATAAAATGAAGTAATTTCTTTTTGACTAGCCAGACAGATGATGGCCAATTAGAAGTGCTTCAAGAAGCAATATTCTTAGTGTGAAAATTCAAGACAATACTAAGCATAACAGAGCTTCCTCCTGCATCACAGCTGTTGGGACAAAATGGTTGGGGAATATCATGGTCTCATCCACTGTGGGACTTGAAACTGAGGAAGGCAACCTGCCTTGGATGAATTCAGGCAGGAAGGATTGGTGAGTCCTTTCAGGAAAGCCTGAATTTGACATGGACCACTTTGAAAGCTTTGTAGTCTAGTCGATGGCAGTCAACTTGCCTGCCAACTACATATGATGCTGGCCCTTTCCTTAGGCTCTCACCAACTGACCAGCTGTCAAAGATACAATGCCAGACTGGAAGCAGGAGGTCTGAGGGTGCTGGTAGAGGCAGAGTCTGTGTGGGGTACCTGGGGAAGGAGGCTGGGAAGCAGAAAAGGCTGTTCCCAGAATGAGCAGCAACATAACATAGGCAGGGGAACAACAAAGGGCACGTTTGAGGCAAGAGGAGAAAAATAGTCTAAGGAACAAAAGTGATAGAAGAGATGTGTCTCTAACTAGATGCCAATACTGTGGTCCTTCCTTCTCCACACTTGGCTCTTAGTGGTTATAAGTACCATAGTCAGCAAGTAGGGCCTCAGCTTCCCCTTCTGTAAAATGGGAGTGTATATGCATGGTGCTCACCTCCCAGGATGGTAGGTGAGGACTGTCTAGTGGCAATACACTGCCACTATTTTGTCAGAGAACAGATTCCTATTCTTGAAAAAGAAATGGAATTTCCTACCAAGGTTCTAAGGGGGGCCCTCTGAGGGATTTGAAGCCAGGGTAACAACACTAAACCACAACCAACATGGCCCATCATAGCACCCCCTTGCTCTTCTGGGGCAGCTTGTACCAAGTCAAGAGCCAGCTAGAGAGGGTGAGAAATAGCGGGGGACTTGCCCAGCAAGGGGTGCAGCATGGGCACAGGGAGGCAGAGTAGTTATAACTTGGAGAGAGGCTGTGTGGATGTGCTCAGGGAGACTGAGAAACCAAGTCCAGTGACCAGGCTCTGGGACTGGTTAACTGGGAAAGTGATAACAACAGGCCCAGCCTAGAAGATATCAAAGGGGAGCTATTTTATGGCAGATGATTAACCAGGTTTGGAAATGGGACTGTGAAAGATGTGGTGAGTGTTGGGTGCCCCACATTAGGAATCCTGCTAATCTCCACACATACACACAAGATAAAGGAAACCCTGTGTATCTAGCCTGTCCTGTAGGTAAGGAAGAGGCATATGGTCCAACTCTGGGGATAGATGCTTTTTCACATGCTTCCATTCAGAAGAGAAAACACAGGGTGCTGTGTGGATGTCTTTTAGGGGTAAAAGAAGTGACGAAAACATTCAGCTTTTCAGAGGTACAGGGTGGAGGTCTAGCATTATCAGTGGGTGCAGGTTAGGCTTCTGGTGAATTTCAGAGTGGTATTCATGACCAGAAGAGGTGGAATTGGCACCAGAGAAACCTCACAGGTGATCTGGACACTGCCCTGGATGCTCAACAAAGCAAGAGATCCTATAAGTGCCCATTAGTCTTTTATAAATATCTTTTTTTTTTTTTTGGTGGTACCTGGGGTTTGAACTCAGGGCTTCACTCTTGCTAGGTAGGCACTGCTTGAGCCACTCTACCAGCCCTTTTTTTGTATTGGGTATTTTTGAGATAGGGTCAGACAGTCTATTTATCCCAGCTGGCTTTGAACCAGCTGCTCCTATCTCTGCCTCCTAACATTACAGGAATGAGTCACTGGCATTTGGCTCATAAATATCTTTTTGGCTCAAATTATCCAAGAATACAGTCTGTGTTTTTTGCAACCCTTTCCTGTGGAACCATGCAGACATGGTTTTCTCTATACCACAAGTGGTCTGCAAGTGGATTATCTGGTCCTGGACTACTTTTCCCAACCCTTTACCTTCTTCTGGTCAGCCACACTTAGGCTATGGTTTAAATTGATCTGCTGGTGTCCCTGGATATACTCCAGTTACAGATGTAGCTGTTGTGAGGGACAAGTGACCTGGTGATCAGCTGAGTTTCCATACTTGTCAGAAGCATGCCAAGATGCTGACCTCCTTGGCTCCCAAGACACCAGGCAAAATCAGGAGTAGAAAATGGCCTAGGCCAGGTTCCTTTTGGTTATAAGCATCTCATCAGTCAGCCCAGCCTGCCATATAGGTGTGTTTCACTCAACACCAAGATATGGAAAGCTGAGCAATCCTGCTCCTTCTGGTGAGTGAAGATGTTAGAACAGTGGCCTTGAGTCATCTATGCAAAAGAGCCAACATAATGACTTTTCCATGCCAAGCCTTGCTAGAAACCCACCCAATTCAGAAAGAAAGTGGAGCTCTGCCAGTCATTTCTCTTCCATGCAATAATAAGCAGAACCAAAAGAAATTGGCATGGCTCAGGGTGGCACAACATTGTGTCATTTGTCACCATAGTAACCACTATAGTTGACAATCATTTTCTTCCAATAGTTTAATTTTACATGCATGGACAGTGAGGCAAAAGATGGTTAACCAGCTTCCATAGCACTCCCAACCCAATGCTTATTCCCACGCTCTTGCTGTCTCAGCCAGGTTAAAGAATGGCTCCTATAAGGCATATCAGTAAATTAAATGCCACTCAGTTCCCACAGCATTTTTCACTTCATTCTTCATTTAGAGGGAGAAACACTGATGGCAGTACAAGTAATAGATTGTTTGCTACAGCAATTGCCCATTTCAGCAGACCCCAGCCCTGAGTTGGGAGGCATTTCAACAATATTCTCATCTTGAGCCAAAGGCAGGCAGTTTGACAAAGGCTTAATTGCATTGGCCATAGCATCCAATATGAATTGTTCTACTTGATTAATGCAATTCCCTTTTCCAAGGACACAGCATCCTCTGCAAATTGCCTGTGTTCCGTCTAGTCTCATGTCATTGCTTAGCAGGGACAAGAGCTCCATACAACCACTTATTCATTATCAAAAAAAAAGACATCCAAGAAAGAGCTAGATATAGGCATGGCACTTTGCAAGGGTCTGGAAATACAGAGAAAACCAGACATACCCATTTCTGCCCTAGTTAGAGAAAAGAACAAGAAACAAATTCCTGCAATAAAGTTTGAAAAGACTCCTGTATAGGTGGAGGCATAGGTGGGATATTCATGCACTTCAGAAAGCATGAGGAGAGATAATTCATTCAAATGAGGGAGGGAAGTAGGGTAGGGGATGGGGAAGGTGTGTGAAAACTTTTCAAAAGAAGGTAATAATGTCTGGATTTCTAAAGAACAAATTGAACTATCTGGGCTGACAAATCAGGAAAGGCATTCTAGGCAGAAGAATCAACAAGGGCAAAGGCATACTAATACTAGTACAAAATAAGACCACAGTTCCTATTCTGGGTAACTTCACTTAGTTTGACGGTACTGGAAGAGATGTGGTGGGGGGCAGGGGCGTGGATGACACTTTGTCTACAGAGACAAACTTTACTTTAAATCTGAGGGATGGGTAAAACTCAGCATGCAGTGCTTGGTGGCAGGGTGAGGGGAATGTCCAGGACAGAGTGAAGACATGCAAAGAACCCTGCAGCCAGCAGAAGCCTAGTCCATTTGAAAAGTGACAGAAGGTCATTTTGGAAGAACCAAAAAAGGCTACAGTGAGGTAAGAAGGCAAGCAGGGGCAAGTTATGACTGTCCTTTCAGACCATGTCAAAGAATTTAAGGTTTCATCCTAGGGGAAGTAGGGAACATTAAAATGTTTTAAATTATTATAATAGATAGATACAATCAGAATTTTGTATTTGAAAGATGAAGCAGACTCTCCCTATGGCCAAGCTGAAGTCATGAGTACAGGATTAACCCTCCTACCTGAAACAACTAGAAAAACAAACAAATATATAAAACTGCAGTTTTTGAGAAACTAAACATTAGACAACCAAGAAGAGTGATTTCTGAGGAAAGTGCAAAATGGGACACAGGGGGTGTGGCCAGGTGGAACCTAGCAGGGTACAGCAGAGATGGCTGCAGTTTGCAGGGCATAGAACCAGAGAGAGGAAGGAGCTGATCAGAAAGCTCTCTATGGATGACAAGCATTCTCTTCCATTAGTTTAATTTTACATGCAGGGAATGCACAGGATGGTTAACCAGCTGAGAACTAATCAGCATATG